CAATGATCTGCCGCCACTTAGCAATTTATCTTATGCAGTACTCAAGTACTGATTGATTTTTGCCTCGCCATTTGCCAGTCGCGTCCCGACCGCCATACGGGCATAAGTAGTCAAGGTTTTCGGCAAACCGACGCGGCAGCCTGCACTTATGGCTATGATGTTCTTTTGGCTAGTTTCATCGGCAGTTCACGCAAGGCGTTAGTCAACCTTGGTGAACCTTTTCCTCGACGTTCTTCGCCTGGCCGATCGAAATCCAGCAGGGGACGCTTGGTGAGCTCCTGGTCGAAATAGGGTTCACTGGCCAGTGTCGAGCCTCTCCTCGTTACTCCTCCAAACAGGGCCCCGCCCGTTGCGGCGTATCTAGCCGGCTTACCATGCAGAGGGTGATTGTTACCGACGCATGCTAATTGTTACCTACTTACCTTATGCAGATATGCTGATCTAACGTTCAACTCTGTATAAATTCGGTGTCAGCCAGCAGCACCGTATGCCAACAGTACGACGTACGCCAGAGCCCAGCAGTGCAGCAAGGAAACAAGGCAGAATCAGAATTTACAGTTCGCAAATCAGGGCAGCCGCAGGGCGACGCATCGTTCAGCTCATTCAGCTACGCCGTGCGTTCGACGTTCTTTGCTCGAACTTAGTTAATAAGTCATTAGCACGTTGGTAAAGTAAAGCTGAACACGACGACGCATGGGTTTCAGAAGCTCGGCTCTGTTCCGAAAGCCGGTGGCGAATCTGCAGGAGGCCATACATTTTGCCGCCCACCTTTTGCTTTCGCAAAACAAACAATCAATTATTCATCGTTCTGCTCGCAACCAGGTTATTAGTGTAAAGTCTGAGGTCTTTACGCGCAACAGCTGCGTCGGTCCTCGCTTTTTACGCACTCGTGTTGGCCTCGCCGAATGGCTAACGAAAAAGTCTAGAGAATAGACGCTTTGAAAGCGAAGTTCCGTTGTTACTCGTCGAACATATTCGTAAAGTGGCCCCAACGGCCTTCTCTTCCTCAACGCAAGAAAGCCGCTTGTTTGCCGCATTCCGCCGTTGCTTAAGCTGTTTCAGGAGATGTGCAGGTGCCAACTGCACCTCACTATCGGTTATGATGATTATCAGCCAATGTGAACGTGACTGACTGCGCAAATTAGACGTTCTAAAGGCGCTCCTTTATTTTAGGACTGCACTGTGTGTCTTCCGTCGGTAGATAGTTGGACACTGACCTTAGAGGTCCCAGATTCGAACCTCAGTCTGATCACTCGTTTTTCTTCCTTCTGGGGCTGATAAATAAGTACCACTCTGTCGAGAGGAAACATGAAACTGCACATTATGCTTGCCACATAGCTGCAGATTCTGCCTTTAGCATAGAGGAAGTCCTGTCTAATGGCATAGAAACGGAAATCAATGCTGACCATTTGCTACGTGAAATGAAGTGATCCAAAATCATGTAATTGTGAAGGAGATCGATGTCCCAAAGGACACAAGATTGTCTTTTATCTTCCAATGCTTAGAATAGAAAGGACTCGTTCAAATCGTGCTCTCCCATATATTTCCATGGTTTGCAGGCGTTTCTCATGTAGCTTGTTGCGCGGCACAGATCACCCTCCGATGGTTTTGAAAGTAATGTCAAATGCGCAGTAGTCGCAATGGTATGTATCTTCATCTGCTTCTTTCCCGCATCAATTTACCCTCCTCGCATGGAGAAAGATGATGAGTTATCGGTCGATGTTCGAACCCATGCCCTTTCAACCGAAAATTCAACGCTCTGCCGACTCATCCGAGATTTCTTGTGTTCACAGTCTCGTAGCTTAAGCAGCTAAAGGCTAAATTGACAAATAAAAGAGGATGGGTTCATATCTGACAGGAACTCCTGACTCTCATTCTTGATCAGTCGCACCTCACCTAATCGAGTGAGCATAGAAAAGATTAAGAGTTATGGAGCAGATTCAGTTGGAATTAGCTTTTCTCCTGCAAGGTACATGCTTAGACCATCATCTTGAAACGTTTGCATAAGCATCATGTCGTTATGCCCGCTGTGATTGCAACTTTGCAACAATTCGCTATGAGGCACCGGTTACTGCATCGTTAAAGAACAGTTCCTCTCGATAAAGAGGTATACTTCTTCCTTGCTAATTCACGTTGCATCCCTTCTATGTTAGCCGTCTGGTCGACTTTGTCATATTTCGATTCCTACCTGAGAAGCTAATGGGTTGAAGCAAATGATGTATGTTCAACAGTTTGCCTCCAGTGCGGAAATTTGTTCATGGTCGCTGCATTGATATTTTTTGTGTGTGGGATTGATACACTTAAAATCAAAGGTTATGAAAGGTTATGCCCAGAATAGTAGTAAATCTGACTGGAAATATAGGTAAGTGAACCAAAGATATTATGAGCTGGAAGAAACCAAGTCAGGCTGCACTTCCCATATAGCCATAAAAACCTTTTAATATTAAGGAATCTCAGGCTAACATGGATCAGGAAAGCAAATCAGTCGGTTTT